ATTATAACTATATTAAATTATATTATATTGTAATTGTGATCGAAAATTATTTTAATATTTGATTATTTATTGTTTAAAAGTATTATAAATGAAATATGGTAAAATTTATTAATTATTAATTAAAATTTAAAATATATTTTAAAATATATAATTATTTAAATAAAAAATATTTACTATTTTTTTAAATTTAAGTTTTTTAAATTTGTTATAATTATTAAAATATGATAAATTATGATATAATTGAATTACATAAGATTAAGTTTTAAGAGATAATTTTATAATTATATTAATATTAAGTATTTTCTACAAAAAGTTATAATTAAAAAACTTTAAAATGAGAATTTTAAATTTGTTATAATTATTAAAATATGACAAATTATGATATAATTGAATTACATAAGATTAAGTTTTAAGAGATAATTTATAATTATATTAAATATTAAGTATTTTCTGTAAAATTATAATTAGAAAACTTTAAAATGAGATTTTTAAGTTTATATACATAATTATTATAAATTTATTGTGATTTTTTATAATTTTTAAAAATAATAATATAAAAAAATAACTATATATATTTAAAAATATTATATAATTATATAAAAAATCCCTACCTATAATTCTAAATTCACCTTTAGACTCAGTGTTTGATGTGAATTTTAAATATTAAAAAGATTAAAAAAAAAAAGAAAAGAAAAAAAAAGGGGGGGTGGAGAAAAGGAAGTAATTTTCTGGAGGTTTAAAAAGGAGCGAAAAAAAAAAGGAAATGGAAGAACCCGAACAGGCGAACGGCATAACTTTTAGAAGTCCGAACCCGGAACGTCCGGGACTACTGCAATCCTCTGCGGCGAGAAATCCGGAGCGGAGATGGCAAAGGAACCCACTGCGGCACCCGAAACCAGCGGTCTCTCTGTCGAAGAATGTCAGGACATGATTCAAAAAAGTCTACGAAGTAAACCCATTTCGTCTTTCACTTTCTTTTGAACTAATAAAGGGTTTAGGGTTTTAAGATTTTGTGTTTTGTTTTTTGCTTACTCTCTGTGATTTCTGATTGTCACTGGGAAAAATAAAGTTAGAATGGGAAAAATTTTTGTGAAATGGTTCTTGGATGGTGTTTGGGGTTATGGGTTTTAGGATTTTGGGTTTTGAAGATGCCATTTTGCAAGCAGTTTAATTTGAGTGGAAATGAAGAGTTCTACTGGATTCTTTTGGTATTCCTAACCAGCCAAGCTGAAATATATGTATAGGAATAGTCTTTTACTTAATTGCTTTCCATTTTTCTGTGTCTCCCTTTTATGGAACAGCTCCAATGGTGAAATTCTTGAGGGAAAAGATGGAGAAAGCCGGGTGCGCGGTTGGGGACAACTTCATCAAGGCAGCTCATTGTGATAAAAAGATCAGTGGGTATTATGCTTTTGGCCAGGGGGTAGGTTTCCTTTCCTTTTTTTGGTCCTGGTGTTTATTCTAATATATTCTTGAATTGTAATTGTTATTTTCGGGCTCTATTTTCTTACTCATTATCGAGGAGAGATGGTATGGTCAATTACCTGTGAATTAGTTGTGCTTTGAAATGTTTATTTCAAATTTTGTTTGGTTTCTCCCTGTTTATGCCTGATCTTCCTTTCCTAATGGTTTCTTTTTATCGTGTGTTTTAGATAATTGTCTGCAACAATCACCTGAAAATTCAAGACGAGGTCAATCAAGTAGTTATAAACAAGTTAATTAATCTATATGATGTTTGTCGTGCTGCCAATTTGGACTGGACTAATTGTGCACATCATGCCTGTACTGCGGTATACTTGAATTGGCTACTGATATCTTGCTATTAATTTCTTTTTATTTTTTTCTTTATTTTAATTATTTTTTTTTTATTTTTATTTTTTATGAATTATATGAAACAGATTCGTGCTAATCATCTAAGTGGTGATTGCCACTACAAGCGAGAATTGTTGCGAGGCAATATCAAGATAAGAGGCCATGAACAAGTAAGGCTTTTGTTTTATATATTTTAAATTCTTGTATGTGTCCATCAGTCTAATTGATTTTTCTTTTGGAAAAGAAAATAAAAGAAGAAATCATTCTTAAGAGGATACTAGATATTTTGTCTATTCTTTTTGATGCACTTCAAGATGCATGATGTTCTTTCTTGCCTAGTCTCTTTTAGAATTATTTATTAACTAAAAGTAAATTTGTATTGTGTTTCTTATATGGTAATTAAAGGAATGTGTGAAACGACGCGTAATGAAATCACTGGCCAACAACCCTTACTGCTCTGAAGCTGCTGCAAAGGATGCCATGGAAGCTGTATGGGATGTCTGTTACAATGATACTCAGCCCTTTGACAGAGCTCCTTGAAGCATTATAATAGCAACTTTCCATTCTAAACTTTCAGTTTTCATATTTCTTTTGAAATTTTTCCCCAAAAGAAACCAAATTTTGAAGGATTGGGTATATGCCGTTCTTGAGATACACATTTGTTTTTAGGAGAAAATATCTTCTCCTTTCAGGCAAATTCGAATAAAAAGAGTTCATTTTTGTTGGTTTTATAAAGGATGCCATTGTATGGTAACTACACACTAATTCAGTTGGAAGAATCTTCATAAGTTGTTTGTATTGATTGAACCTTTTCAAGCAATTCATATTGTAGGTTTATAATGTGTTCTTGAGAAATCACTTGTAATGCATGACTCTTCTCGATTCATGAGTCCTGACCCTTTGGCTGATTCCATTGAAAGAAACAATTGCTACATTTTCTCTGCCAGGGAACATGGTTTAAGGATGAGGTAATCCATCATATTCAAATTTTTTCAGCTGCTGAAGGCTCCAGGGCTAGAGAAAATATTCTTATTATTCAGTGTGGCTCTCTTTTTAACATTTGTTCTGTATTCCATCTATGAATTCAGAGTACTGTGTAAGTGGATGGATTTCATTTCAAGATAATGGACCACATGGCGGCAAACAATGTCTTATTCCCCTTTTGAAAATTGGATTACTTTAGAAGCTTAGAAAGGACAAAAAGTAACACCAGCCTGTTCCGCGGACAATAGTCAAGTCTATAAACAATGTATTATTCTTATTGAAGAGTTCCATGTTACCCAAGTTTACTTATGATGCATGTACTTCTCCTATTTCAGTTCACTTTCTTCATTTTTTAGTCCTTCTAATCTTTATCTTGTTGGCATATCAAAAAGGCCGGGAAGTGTATGTTGCGGAACAATAAACAAAGTTCAGATTATACAAGTAGATGAATGGGATAAGAAGGCAGCAAAACAGCATCAAACTTAAAGGCGGCAGTGGCATTTAAGAGGATGATTGCCTTCTGTTGGTTGGTTCCATTCATCTGCTTCCAGGCCACAGTTCTTAGGATGAAACTCTAGATTTGGAATCTCTCATGTTTATTGCTTGCTAATTTTATGGAGAGTATCAGGATCAGCCAATGAAGACAACGATGAAGGGGCAAGAGCCAATATCTTGTTTATATCATGGAACTGAAGCATCTTTGTACAAAATCAAGGGAGAGAAGAAACAGTATAAGTGCAATCATCAATGTAAAATGACTCAAATTTTAATGTGAACAAAAATTGAGATTGTCGCTCGGCAGTGTTTCTGTAATGCTTTTATATCTACCGTGAATTTGGTATTACATTTTTTTTTTTTGATGTAATTTGGTATTACATTTTTGTTGGTGCATTTATGGTATTTCTTTTTTTGTACTATTTTTCAGTATGTAAAATTTATATTGAATTTTTATTAATTTAAAATTAAATCACATCAAATATAAAGATAAAATTTTTTGATATATATTTATTTAGACATAATACTTAAATTTAAAAATTTATTTAAAAATAATTAAACTTTTTTTATTCAATTCAATAAATTATCAATGAATTGTAAAGTATACATCAAAAGTAATTCATTCATTTCACGAATTCATTCTCATTTGTCTTAAAATTTGAAGCTAAAAGTTCTTATTAATTGTGCTGCCTCGACAAAAATTTGGTATTATATGTCAAATCATGGTTGAATGATTTTTTTTTTTTAATATTTTTAAAGGAGAAGTGGAAATCGAAATCAAATATGTAAGGCAAGGGCATGCAGCCGCCAGCCGGGTCGTTTGACGGGCTGTTTTAAAACCCGTAACCGATACTTTAAAACCCGAACCGGCAAGAATACTCTGCAACTGCAAACAGGAGAAACCCGAAACAAAGATGGCGGAGGAACCCACGCCGGTGCATCGTTCCCGCGGGTGCACCGTCGAGGAATGTCAAAACATGATTCAAAGAAGTCTACAAAGTAAATTCATATCTCCTTTTCACTTGATTTTGATGTAATCATTGGTTTAGGGTTTTAGGATTTTGCTTATGCTCTCTGTAACTGCCGGTTGTTATCGAAAAAAGTAGAGTGAGAACTGCAAAAACCTTGGTAAATACCTCTTGGGATGGCGCCTATGGTTTAGGGTTTAGAATATGGGGGTTTTGGATTTTTTTTTTTTTTTGGCAAGGAATTTAACAGTGAGTTTGGATTGGGGGACTTGGTGGGGAGGGGAAGGGGAGGAGAGTGAGGGTTGTTTTCTCTCCTTGTTCTTCTCAGCAGCCAAGCTGAAGCATATATGTTGGATTGATCATTGGTTTAATTTTTTTTTTAATATTACTCTTTCTTGGAATAGCTCCAATGGTTAAGTTCTTGAAGAGACAGATGGAGAAAGCTGGGTGTGTGGTTGGAGACAAGTTCATCAAGGCAATTCATTGTGATCAAAATATTAGTGGAGGTTATTGTCAAGGGGAAGGGGTAAGGATCTTCTTCCCTGCTTTTACTGAATGCATAGATTTCTAAGAACTCGAAGCTGCTTGCTGTTATTGGAATTATTTGAACAATTGTAGCATATGCTTTAGTTTGGAATTGAATTGCTTTTCTGGGATTTTATTTTCTTTCTCATTATAAAGTAGAGAAGCTGCCTATTACATCTGAATTGATAGTGTTTTGAAATAGTAATTTGAATTTTTGTCCAGTATCCTGTGTTTCATGTGCCTAATGCACCATCACCTTATTGCTAACCTCTCCCTTGATGCTTCATTTCTGCAACATGGTTTAGATAACTGTCTGTAGCAACGAGGTGAGTATGCAAGATGAGGTTAATCGTGTGATATTACATGAGTTGATTCATGCATATGATGAATGTCGCTCTGCAAATTTGGACTGGTGTAATTGTGCACATCATGCCTGTAGTGAGGTATCCTTGAATTGGTAACAAATTCCTCTTCTTAGTGTGGTGAGATTTCACTTTTGTTTTTCTTTATCTTACTTTTTAATTTCTTCTTCTGTTAATTATATGAAACAGATTCGTGCTAATCGTCTTAGTGGTGATTGCCACTACAAGCAGGAATTGCTGAGGGGTTATTTGAAGATAAGAGGCCATGAACAAGTGAGGCTTTATTTTTATACTTTTTAATTTTAAGTTCTTCTATTGTGCATGTCTTTCTAATTAATTTATATTTTCAATTTTATCATCCTCAAGATACATTATTCTCACTCCATTCTTTTTACCTATTTAATTCAGGATGCATGATGCATTCCTTGTCCAGAGAGTGTTTTTTTTTTTTCTAATTAACTGAAAGTAATTTAGTATCCTGCTTCTTATGTGGAAATTAAAGGAATGCATTAAGAGGAGAGCTATGAAATCGGTCACCAGTAACCCCTTCTGCTCAGAAGCTGCTGCGAAGGATGCTGTTGAGGCTGTATGGGACGTCTGTTACAATGATACTCAACCGTTTGACAGAGCTCCTTGAGACATACAATGGCAATTTGCTGGTCCCAAAGCTATTGTATTTTTAATTTCATTTTATTTCTCAAATTATTTCTAAAATTTTGAAGGATTGGGAATATTCTCAGTTCTTGTGTTGCATATGATAGGAATAAGAATTATTGATTTGTCATGTTCATGTCAATAATCTTCCCTCTCTTGAGGATGACAGAGAGAAATTGTATGATTTCTGAGTTTTATTATGCTAGTTATAAACCAATTCTGAGACAAATTGGATAATGAAATTGTTTTGTGTTGGTTTTCCAAAGGCAGCATTTTTTGGTTATTATTCTGTTGTTACTATTCTAATTTGGTTGGTTACACGGATGTTGTTCCTTTTCAAGTAATTTGATGAATTATATGTAGATAAGATGTTCTTGAGAAATGCGTTTTTTTTAGGTCACCAGTCCTGAAAAGTGAGTTTACTGGGCAAATCTAATATGTTCTTTAATGAGTTACACATTAATGTAATCCTATTATGATTAATCTCTGCCTGAATCATCTGCATTCATGTTGTTGCTTGCTTTTTCTTCTGAAAAAGACAACAGCTGGCTGAATTTTGTGGGGCGACCAAGCGTTGAAGGGTGAGGTAATCCATGATGTTCAATTTCATTTTAGTTGCAGGCAGTTTCAGGCTAGGGAAAATTATTTTTACTATTATTCAGTTAATGGTCTAGGACTCTCTTTATCTTTTGCATTTGTGATAATCTATATATTCATTCTTCAAGTTATCATTTGAATAATCTTAGTTTACTGGGTGACAGGCTAGTTGACTGTGGTGCTGGTCTTCAGTCTCCTGTAATGTAGATGAGTGTAAATAGATAGGATTCATTTCAAGGTCTTGGACCACCCAAGGCAGCCGAAGGGTGTTTTATTCCCTTTTTGAAATTTGGGTTACTTTAGAAGCTTAGAAAGAACAAAAAGAAACACCAACATGTTCTGCACACAATAGACTATAACAATATATTATTCTTCAAGAATTCACCTATAATAATGCACATATCCACCGCTTCAGCTCACTTACTTTGTTGGTAGGTCCTTCTAATCTTTTTCCAGGTAGTATATTCTGAAGGCCAGAGAGTGTATGTTTGCTGCAGAACAAGAAAGAGTTCAGATTAGCAGGCAATTACTGGGGAAGAGAATGGGGAAACAGAACCGACCATGAAGGCTGTGGTGGTTCTTAGGATGGTGATTTTCCTTATGTTGCTTGGTCGGTACCAAACATTTGCTTCCAGACCACATTTCTCAGGTAAATTCAACTTCTTTTCTGCATGGTTTTAGGAGTCACATATGTTTGAAACTTCAAGATTTATGTTCATTGCTTGCTTGTTTGCAGGAGTGATGCTATCAAAGTATGAGCATGAGCCAGCGAAGAGAAATATGAGGGTAGAAGAGCCAATATCCATGTGGTGGAATGAGGATTATTCTCATCCTCATAGGAGACGGCCTGTGCATAACAAGTTAGACCCATAAGTTTTTCTTTCCTCTCTGTTGGTTTGTGTGTTTATTCAAGTAGGTTGTTAATTGTTACCTAGCTGTTATATATATAAATGTCTGAGACTGGAGAGCTTCATGTTAAGATTCCCTTCTATATCATGGAATTGAAGCATCTCTGTACAAAATCTAGGGAGGGAAGAAACAGTTAGTGCTACTTGTTTGGTTTGATTGTCAATTTGTCATACTATCCGCATTCCAATATCCCAACTTGAATTTACGGTTTTTTCATGTTCTGGAAAAATGGTTCCTTCTTTCGCTTCTTTCCATTGCATTCTGATTTTGGTTACAATTCAGGCTGTTCAAACCTATGCATCTACACTTTATATCTGAAAAGGATAACTTTTCCTTTTTCGTTTAATTTGACCGACTTCGGAGCCGAAAGCCAGAACATATTATTACTTTATGTCTCCGTATTCAAGATGATATGCGCCAACGATACCGAGAATAAGGAATCAACTCAATTCAATTTTCTCCAAACAGAAACAGGGCAAGGCTCCGCATGCATGAAAAAAGGTCATAAGCCACGTTCCGAAAGGAAGAGATCACAGATTCTGTTTGCATTGCTTTTCATTGTTAATTGCCTCAATAGAAAAATATTGATGATCAAGTAGCTTTTGCCTTGGATAGGCTGAAACCAAACCTTTTTTTTTTTTTTTTCTTTCCCTCCACTCAAATGCCAAATGAAATGATAAACGTACAATGATTTTAACTATAGTGTACTATGTATTCTCTGCATGTGGCGTACTGACGATCACATTAAAAAGCAGGTGAAATGCATTTTCAGTTTCTCAAGTTGAGTCTTATCTATTACTTTGAACAGATGCTAACCTAACTTAACATTATAATTTCTTTTGTAGTAAAATAAAAAAACTATACCGTACAATGTAATAAGATAATATTATAAAATTAATTCTTTTTATTTAAAAGTCATAATATTATATCATATACAATATAACGTATTTGTGTATATCAATTACCAAACCATCTTATAGGGGTGAAGAATTTTAAAATTTTAGACATGAACCCAACTCCAAGTTGCCTTTTTTTAATGTAAGATCTATTCAATTAAGTACCTAATTTCAGAGTTTAACCGAGTTACTCATAAAATTAAGGACTGAGGAGCAGTCGTGTAATTATGAAGATGGTAAGGACCTAATTAAATTATACTCATAAAATTAAGGAGCACCCATGTAATTACTCTGAAAAGAAAATTAGCGAAACAAAGAAGGGACCGCCAGATTTGGCAGAGGAAACAGAGAGGAGTCATCGTTTCCCTCGAAACGTGTCTGTCCATCTCCGCCAGCATGCGCTCTGTCTTCTCCTTATATTCATCTTCATCCCTATTCTCTTCCCCTGTGTCTTCTTATTCACCCCTCATTTATCTTTTCTCTTCCTTTCATTCCATTTCCACTCCTTTTCTAATGGCTCCTGCCTTTGAACACCGACTGCTGCCGGGGGCGGATGGAGGAGTTGTTGCGCCCCACAACACTGGCAGCACCAATGTTTCCGGTGATGATCAACTCCTCCTTAAATCGAAAGTCACGGTTGTGGGTAGTGGCAATTGGGGCAGTGTTGCTGCTAAGCTCATTGCTTCTAACACCCTCAAGCTCAGTTCTTTTCATGGTATTTATGTTTCTTTCACTTTTTCTCGTTTTCTGTTTCACTTTGCAATTTGCAGGCAAAGATTGTTTGGTAATCAGAAAATTTGGGTTTTTGTTTATGCCATTTGTTTCTCATGCAATCATAGTATACTATATCAGTGTTTGCTTTTTGGGAAAATGAGGGCAAGAAAATAAATTGAATTTTGAATTTATTCAATGTTTTAATTTCTATGATACTTATGTGGTACTGTTCCATAGCAAATACTAAGAAAATGCTGCTGAAGATATAAATTTATCTTAGAATTGTATTTTAATTATTATATGAATTCAGAGGAAGTGAGGATGTGGGTGTTTGAGGAGACATTGCCAAGTGGTGCGAAGCTCAGTGATGTTATCAATCGAACTAATGTAAGCACTTGAGGGCCTTCATTGGAGTTTGGTTTTGTGTTTTTCATAGTCTGATTGATTTTGTTTCCTGTAATAGGAAAATGTTAAATATCTCCCCGGCATTAAGCTTGGTAAAAATGTTGTTGCAGATCCAGACCTCGAAAATGCAGGTATTTTTTCAGTTTTACGCTTTCCCTGGTGTCTTGTAATTTAGCTGATATAAGTTTTTAGATGCTGAAAAAATTGGTGGATGCATAACTATCTAGCTCATGGATTGTGAATTTTGCAGTTAAAGATGCAAACATGTTGGTTTTTGTCACCCCACATCAATTCATGGAGGGTATATGCAAGAGGCTTGTCGGGAAAATAAGGAGAGATGCCGAGGCTATTTCCCTTGTTAAAGGGATGGAGGTCAAGATGGAAGGCCCTTGCATGATCTCCAGTCTTATCTCTGAGTTGCTTGGGATTAACTGTTCCGTGCTGATGGGGGCAAATATTGCAAATGAGGTCATCAGAAAATTCTAGTAACCATTAATTTTTTACTAGAAAATCGACTTGCTATGTCATTCTAGTACTTGTTTCCTGAAAGTTAAGAGGTTGAGTTTGCAGATTGCTGTGGAGAAATTCAGTGAAGCAACTTTTGGGTACAAAGAGAACAGAGAGATTGCAGAGAAATGGGTTCAGTTATTCAGTACTCCGTATTTCATGGTTACTGCTGTGAGTACAAACAGATATGTGTCTGGCTTTTATTATGGTGACAAACAAACTAAACAAGAACTGTAAATCTTACCATTGTATAAGATCCTTTTTTGAATCAGAAATAGGCATAAAGTGCAAAAGAAAAAATTTTCAAGCTTATTTAAAATTTATGTTAGTTCTCAACATTGTGAATTCCAATGAATAAATAGGTCCAGGACGTGGAAGGAGTTGAACTATGCGGGACTTTGAAGAATGTTGTTGCCATTGCAGCAGGTATATGGTGTGGTAATGTTTTTTCTTCATTTGTTTACGTAACTTCAGGGCTAATGGATGCGTTCCTACCTACTAGTACAGGTTTTGTGGATGGCCTGGAAATGGGAAATAACACAAAGGCAAGAGATATGATGCTTATTTTATCATCACCCTTAAAACCTTTGGTTTTATGTTTACTAACCCTCTTTCAATTTTTTTTGCCAACTCTTAGGCTGCAATAATGAGAATTGGTCTTAGAGAAATGAGAGCTTTGTCCAAGCTGTTGTTTTCGTCTGTTAAGGATAGTACATTTTTTGAAAGCTGTGGAGTTGCTGATGTAATTACTACATGCTGTAAGGAACTTGATTCATCCATTCTTTCTCTTTAATAAATTATTAGCTTGGTAGTGAACATAAAATATTTTGTGGCAGTGGGAGGAAGAAACAGGAAAGTTGCAGAGGCTTTTGCTAAGAATGGAGGGAAAAGGTTAATCTTTACACTTTGATTTACTGAAAACAGTGAAGCTCAAAGCAAACAATTTTGACCTTGTCTTTGACCTTACAGGTCCTTCGATGAGCTTGAGGCTGAGATGTTGCAAGGCCAGAAATTACAGGTAGGACCTTGACCCAACCACTTTAATGAACCAAACTAAAGGCTTTTACTAAATTAACAGACTTTAATAGACTTCTTACCCTGTACATTGTTTAAAATGAAAGCACTTCCATAAACAATTTCAGCTGCTGACATTTGGAGATACTGGGAAATTAAAAATGAAAATTGAATTTCTTCTAGTAAAATGTTTATGTCCATCCTGAGGTTCCTAGGAGAAGAAACATTTAAATTGTCATTTTGTTTGTTTAATTGAAAATATATCTATGATAGTCTTAAAATAAGCTTCTTTGATGTTTCTTGTTTATTGATGTGTAGTTGTATGTTGCGTAATCTTCTTCTATATGTAGGGTGTCTCAACAGCAAGAGAGGTCTATGAGGTTTTAAGCCACCGTGGATGGCTAGAGTTGTTTCCACTTTTCACGACAGTGCATGAGATCTGTACCAGTCGTCTTCCACCATCAGCCATAGTTGAATATAGTGAACAGAAACCCAACTTCTCCTTGTTACAGGGTTCGATCAATGGAGTTGTTGACGAATAAAATTATGAAAAAATAAATAAAATAAATAAATAAAACCTACATTTCATGGGTGTAAAAGAAGCTTTTCTTCAGTCACAAAATCAAGCATGACAGAAGATGAGCAAAATCCCCCAACGACAATTGGAGGGTTGAAATGCAACAATTTTAGGAAGCTTCCCTAGTATCCAAGTTGAATTGAAGGCGGTTTCTACTCCTTTTTGTTTTTTGTTTTTTTTTTTTTTTTTTTTTTTTTTTTTTTTTTTTTTTTTTTTGTTTTTTTTTTTGGTTGCCTTTCTAAATTAAATA